CCAGGGGAGAGGACCTTAGGTCCCCCCCCCCATTTTAGTATTTAGGGCCCCCACCCGCCGCTCAGGGGTGGGGGCCAGGGGGGAGGACCTTAGGTCCCCCCCCATTTTAGTATTTAGGGCCCCCACCCGCCGCTCAGGGGTGGGGGCCAGGGGGAAGGACCTTAGGTCCCCCCCTTATTCCAATTTAGGGCCCCCACCCACCGCTCAGGGGTGGGGGCCAGGGAGGAGGACCTTAGGTCCCCCCCTTATTCCAATTTAGGGCCCCCACCCACCGCTCAGGGGTGGGGGCCAGGGGGGAGGACAGTAGGTCCCCCCCCTCATTATTTTTATGGCCCCCACCCACCGCGCAGGGGTGGGGGCCGGGGGGGAGGACAGTAGGGCCTCCCCCCCATTGTAATTAATGGCCCCCACCCGTTGCACAGGGGTGGGAGCCAATAGTTTTTGTTTTGTTTTGTTTTGTTTTTTTTACAGTGAGCAGCCACTGGCTGCTCACTGCTTACTAGACATGCCCCTACTCGCTGCATAGCGAGTAGGGGCAGATCATTTACTAATACTAAGTAATCTTTACTTAGTATTAGTAAATGTGGCTGAAAGACCAATTTAGGTCTTTCAGCCTTTTAGTAGATAACTCCCTAATACCGTGGGAATTAGGGAGTTATCTACTAAGCGGCTGCAAGATGCAGCCGCGGATCGGAGTTTGCATGCCACAGTCCAGGTGTTAGTCCCCTTGAAACATCTTGTGTGTTTTAAAATTCGCCTGTCTATTGAAGTCTATGGCGGTTCGCCCGGTTCGCGGGTTCGCGAACATTTGCCGAAATTCGCGTTCGCCGTTCGCGAACCGAAAATCTTATGTTCGCGACATCACTAGACATGGATGCATATTGCACCCTTAAAGGGACACTCCAGAATTACAATATGTATGATGTAACAAAGTATGGTGTAACTTAAGAATCTTTCATCTCAAAAATGTGAACTGATAGCATGTGCATATTGTAACGCTTACTCTAACCAATGTACCATGTTGGAATGTAAATCTGTACACATTGTAAAACCATAAAAATTGCAAATAAAAAAAAAAAAGTAAGAAAAGAATCTGTGAGAGTTCATCACTACTGCACCATCAAAAGCTTGTGTGTGGTTTTTGTGTGTGTGTTTGGCAACACAGATATCAGTCGGTATACCACCCAATAAAAAAGCTAGAAAGAAAAGGAAAACTACGGAGAACATGGAAGGAGTGAAAATAGTAGAAAAATTGTAACCTGCATAATGCATTTCGTGGCTAACTCAATGAACAATTGTGTGCTGCACAGATTTGGGGGTCCAGTTTAAGCTACTTCATAGACTGAAAGAGATGTGGGAGCTTGAGTGCAGGGCTGATTTCTGTGTTTTTATTATCCCGTACTTGGTAAAGCACCAAATGTAGAATGTATTGAACCCTGAGGCTTGTTGGTGATATTCCTTAAACATTCAGCATTATTTACTAACCTCTATTAATCAGCAACTGATCTAGCATTTTCTAGTCTGCATTAATGTGCATGAATCAGATGTGAGAGAAAAATGCTTTATACAAAATAGAATATTAAGACTTACCTTTACAGTAGCATCCCAGGGTACTTGCATGAAATGGTTATTGGATGATAGGGATGCATGGTTGCCTAGCAACCACACTGGACCAGGCATTTTACACAAAGAATGCATAGAGCTGTGGCTCAGCCAGCATTTATTGGAGAAAGAATTGCAGTTTTATGTAATCTGCTTTTTAGGGATGTATAGAAAACATTAATGAGGATTGTAGACCCCTGTTGTGCAATATTCACATTAATAAATAGTTAATACAGAAGCAGTTGGTACTTTGTATGAAAAGAAAGTAAACTGTTTTTTTTTTTTTAATTCTTTTTACTCTAATATCAGTCATGTTACAGTACCAGCTAAACAAATCTTAATATGTAACTCCAGATGCACAATATTTGGTCATGTAACCTGTTTCTGTTACCACTAAACCAGAAATGATTAATTGATTGATTGATTGAGCTTCCCAGTCATGTTTTTGAACAAGGAAGGAAAAGACCCAGGCCTCTGCTGATATAGATGTATGTATGACAAGCTCTCTAACTGCCTAGAATATTTTGAGAGACCCTGGGGTGCTTACTAGCCCAGATGTATTACGATATTGATCTTTGAAACTGATTAAGAACATCATTATTAACTGGTAGGCATGTGCATGGGGAAAATTTTTGGTTCGGCATTCCGAAATTCGGGACTTCCGCAATTCGGGACTTCGACACTTCGGAACTTCTGCATTTCGGAAATTCGGGACTTCTCTTGCAGCCGCTTAGTAGATAACTCCCTAATTCCCACAGTATTAGGGAGTTATCTACCAAAAGG